GGATAGGCTGTGGCCCGTTATTGTACATCGGCGGCGCATTGAACAAGTACTGCGGTGGAGGGCCATTCAGAGCCACAAAAGGATGGGGCAGATTTTGTTGGGGGTAGGGAGGTGCATTTGAAGAGAAGTTGACGAATGTGGGCTGGCCTGGTCCAGGAGGAAGAGGTGGCCGTTGACCATTCATGTGCGAACTGTGACCGTTTGATACGTGCGGTGGGTACGGCTGTTGAACCGCCTGTGTGGCGCCGTTAGGTATGCCGTGAGCAGCCTTTCTAGCAGCGATTATAGCCTCCCGTGTCTTATTATCGGGGATCTTGGTTGGAATATCATAGCGCTTGGCTAAACTGTCTTTGACCATCCATGGGGCTTTGAGCCAGTCCTCACGTTTGAGGGCATTACGAAGAAAGGCCTTTAGAAGAAGCTTTGAGAAGGTTTTCTTGTCTCGGTGGAGGTCTGAAGCTTTGTACTTTGTCACGTTTTCCCCAGTGTCTTCCATGGTGATTACGTAAGTGTACGTCCGGATGTTATCGTCCATCGATTGGCCAGTGAACATACTGTGCATTCGACTGTTATCTGTAATCTGAGTGATTGTACCAAATCGGCGTGGATTATCTCCCTCGATAGATACACGGTCATGCAGCATGAATTGCTCCTTGAAATGCTACAAAAATGAATTAGTATCACAGTCTCCGTTGCTTGTTTGAAGATGCAAGCAGCTTACATCGTAAACGTCATTTACTTCAAGATTTGTTAACGAAATATCACCTGCAAATATGGAGCCTGAACTTACCTAGGTCGTCTATGCGCTCGTGATCCTGAAACTGGACATAGTGAAGAACAGGAGACTTCAAGCTATCAGGGAAGATGCTATTGATCTCTTTGGAAGCTTCCGTCTGCACGGATGTTACCTCCTCGTCGGCCTTGACGAGTATTGACGTGGAGCCTACCTCGCTCTCTTGGGCCTCGAAATAAGTGTAACCGGAATGCCCAGTCGCCTGGCATGTGAAGCTTCGCTACGATCCGATTAGCTGTTTTGCGCCCAATTGTTGGAACTGTGGTTCTCTTGCCTGTTGGTAGAAGTCCAGCCTAGATTGTGTTAGTAACGTCCTTGTGCCTGACGTCATTTCCATGAATTTCTTACCGTTCGAGGTAGCGCTCATAGTCGACAAAAACCTCTCCAGTCTGCTCGATATGCCACACCTAACCAATAGTCTTAGCATGTATGCTCTTGGGCTTCATCCAGTTATGTGACGCACTTCGGCATTATCGTCGAGATTTTTGGGCCGGGGTTCAAGCTTGACGGGTTTGCGCTTGAAGAGAACCTAAACAATTCTCAGCAGATGTTCGTTTGTATGCTGCGACCTAGTATGTACCATCTTGAAGTGAGCAACAGCTCATGTAGGGCTCTCGGCCTCTAGTGTACCGCGTCGCAAACTTCGGAAGCGTCGCGATGGTCGGAGCGCGTAGGTTGTGCTTTGCGGGGTACAATGTACAAAGAAGTGGAAGCAATCGCCCCTCCACGAGCGACTGTGCGACTCTGTGCTTTTCACGCGTCAGAAAACGATGTTCACAAATTGCTGTCGCACTCTTCGGTGGTCCGAAAAGCGTTCCGAGACGCGTCTTCCAGTTCCGAAAGCGCGTCTGAGAGGTTCGAGGCTGCCGGCAAGAGGTTGGGGCGCGATTGTTGGTCAGGCGGGCGAGAGGGTGGACAGCAGCAGTCGGAGGGCAGTCAATGGGAACAAAAGTGAGTGGAAGGTAGTAGGAGAAGCCCATAGTCCCTTGGCGCGAGGTGCCATACTAGATGCGGTAAGGACCGTCTTCGCACCCTACCACCTACGCCCCGAAGCTACGCACCCCACCACCATCACGATATCGACGTATTTGGACTCGTTCTCGTCGTCAAAACGAGGACAACCAGACTGCAGCATACATGCGCTCATTTATAATGGCACGCCAAAGAATTTCTCATTATCAAGTGGCAGTGAAGGCCGGCCATGGAGATGCTCCATGCCGCGAGCCACCTTGAGCAAACCCTTGGGCAGGCTGACCCACTTGCTGGGACACGCCATCGTTATACCCGCCTCTAGTCACACACGGCCTTGCTGAACCACGTACAACCAGAGAGGCGTATATTCTGAAAGACAGCGCAATCTCAAAATGACTTGACGGGATATCCTACCCTACTTTGCCCTTGACATGTACGTTTGTCTCCTGCTCACCAAGTATAATATTTGAAGCTGTTGAGCGCTTAGAATGTCGAAGTGGACACCTCTCGGAAGCTAATCCTCCAAAAACCTTGTTTCCTGCAGGCTTATCTGACTTGATGTGGTATATGTTGGAATGAAAACGAGCTGGCATGTCGACTAGACAAAGTTACTTGAATGACATCGGTGACTGACACAGAAAATGGGCGGCAAAGAGCACGATTAACAATATAAATATAGCCTATATGGATTTCGGCTTATAAGTCAAAGTACACTACCAAGAAGCCAACCCAGCTACCAACTACACCGATGGCAGAGTAAGAGCTCGTAAACATGAGCGGTAGGAACTCATAACGGGACCCGAATACAAGGCCGTGAACAAGTGAGCAATACGCAATCAAAGGTATCGAAAGCGTTATGTAAAGCAAAGAGAACCGATCGAGCAGAAATATGCGAGGTTTGGGTGATCTAACAGGTTAGCGTCTACTTGGAAAATATCAGGGGTTGCCTACGCTGGAGCTAGCCGGTCAAAGGCAATCAGAAATAAGACAAGCCAGAAGATGGTATAAACCGTCTTGACGGGAAACTCGGCTGCAGTGAACAGTAGCGGGAACAACGACACGTGACCGGCAACAGCCAAGGGCCGAAAAGCCCCATAATATCTGCGATCTTGGAGCGCTATCAGACTGAAGGGAATAATGACAAGCAGAATTGCCTTTTCGTGGACGTGCCAGCCGAAGAGAAACGATGCGTAGCCACAGAGCGTGACGGCGCCGACAAAGGCTTCCCAAGTAGGCTTGAAGAGGAGTCGGAGAAGAACAGGCTGAAGGATGTTAGTTGGGTCGTCTTTGTGAAGTGGCAGCGTGCATACTATCTGCGCTCCGAGCGTGAGGAGGAAGCAAGTCAATGGAACTATGTCGGGCAGCACAGCAAAGGAGGTGTCTCCAACTAGACCTCGCGTTACGCTATTCACTGCCTCCTGGTCGACATGCAGTCCGAGCTGTGGTGCCACTGTCAGCGTTAGTGTTGTCAAGTAAAGGATGGAGATTGTTTTTACAGTAGATCAGCACCCGGTCCGTAAAGGAATACATTGCCCAAACGTTTGGCGCCCAGTAGGCGTGACACAATCCGCGGGAGAAGGGGAACAGGCGACTGACTACTTGCGCCAGCTGACCCCATAGTGCGAACGGACCAAAGGCTGCTGCGAATACCGTAATGATGCCGACTCCTAGTTTGACACAGTTGAAGAACTGGATGTTGAAGTAGGGAAACGATGAGCGATTACCCAGACAATAAACACGTAGGAGATAGACAAAATAGGCCGGGGCGAGATAGAGATAGATGTGCTTGAAGCATAGGAGGGCAGCAAAGAGAAGGCCAGATAGCAGAAGCGTAGAGCTGTTGCGTGCAAGGACCATTGACAATACCAGGATACCGTAGAGAAAGCCATTATACTGGAAATGGATGTGGTCGATGATCAAGAGTCCTGGAGACAAGAGAACTGAGAGAGCAGCAGCATGGGCTGTGACTTTGGACTTTGACGTCTTCACATAGCTGAAACAGACTTAGCACGGTGTGTGTCACGCAGGGGGGGATGGCGGTACAGATGCAAAGCGTAGACGAGAACCAGTTCAGTGAGGATGACGGTAGTGCGCTGGAAGTAGATGGTCTGCCAGCTGTCATAGCCCAGGTCTTTCACGTTGAGCAAGCCAGCGTCAGCATATGGGGCGGCTTGAGACAAGAGCCACTCAAAGTAGGCGAAGAAGGGCGGATAGTCAAGGGTCCATTCCGAAGTTTTCTGTTTGTGCTGTTAGAGGTTGATGAGGGGGCAATGGGTGTGATTGGACATGGTAGTCTGACTTCATAGTACCACTCTTTGATGGGCAGGGAGTGGGTTAGAGCTAGCCAATTGCGGTGGACCTCAAAGTCGGTCGACTTGCTGCCGAAAAAAGGTCAGCATGGAGAGGGTTGAGGCGTTGGGTGTGTGGTGCGGCAGACGTACTATGCAGGAAACAGTAGCACCTTGAGCGCCGTGGCCACGACGGCGCACTGGGCAAGCGACGGATACAGCTCTGCCATGGCGAGACTGACAGCGGGTGAGGGCACAATGGACAGAAAGCACAGATTAAGTTGAGGATCGTAGTCAGAGTCACGTGCTCGCTTACGGGCGAACCCCGGTCGTAGAACGGCGGTGGTTGTAAGTGAGTACTTGGAGTACTTGGGGTAGGAGCAAGCATACCAAGACAAGAGCAACAGGGCAAGTGCCTGTGTTTTGGAACTACACACACCCACGTCGGCGACTGGCGCGACGAGGGCAAACGGGCGAAGAAGCAAAAGCGGATTCGACCACAATGCAAACGTGAACGGGCGCCAGGGGAGAGAGTGGCTGGCAGGCGGCGCTGACAGTTTCGCATAATGGTGTCTGACGTTTGACACACGGCATAGGCTCCGCTCCGTCTTTGTTCCCCTGGGTGCGAAATGCTCCACGTGAGCGGTTTCCTGCCTCGCATACCTGTTCGTTCCCCCCCGGCACTAAGGGGAGGGGGTTGCAGGTGTTTGGCAAAGTATGCTGGAGACTGGAGCCGCAATTTGATCTGGACCCGCTGGCGCTGGCGGTGGGTAACATGGCAGGGCAGGGCAGGGCATGGCATGGCATGGCATAGCACGGCAAAGCAGCACTATAGCATCTACTATGAGTGTGGCGCGCACCCACGATGCAGCGGCATTGCACCATGTGGAGTGGTGGTGTATGTACTTGAGTACTTAGGTAGGAAACTTGGCTACCAAGTACCGTTACTACTGCAGAGCATGTATCAGCGTGGTCCGTCTAGTCAGGGACCAGCGCTGCACGTCTGCAATTACCCGCTGGCCGCATCTGCTCGAGGCAAAAACGCTCCGAGCAAGAGACACGGTACACACGTCCTCGTCGACGGCACGCGAGCCATTCCACCCAACGCCCGCGGCCAACTGAACTGGCCGACTGGCACTGACTGACATTGACACCAACACGCATTCACTAAACACTGGTACACGTACACCCACCCCACGGCAGGGCGGCGCCTGGTGTCGAGGGTGGCATTGTCCGATTCAGTGGCGGGCCTGCGCGTTTAAAATAAGCAGAGCGCTAGCCGTCCGCTTTTGGCGGCCTCATTTGCGCCTGCCTCCTAATGGACCCTGCTAGTGAGCATTTCTCACCGACCTCCTCCTGCTCTCTCCTCCCCACCGTGTCAGGTCGCATCCCTCTTCTTCGATCCCTTCATTCATTACCTCCTCTTCTCCCCCGCATCGACGCTCTTACGCTCTTGCACAAGGCGCGCTTCTTTGCCCTTCCTTCTTGTCCTTGTCCCATCGTTTGGTGCACGTATCAACACAAGCCACGCGGGTTTCTTCTTCGCCAGCTCTCGGCTACAGCATTTAATTGCCTTTCACCCCCCCGCTGCTGCCATTGGCCTTCCATCTTTACCTCGACCGTGTCGCCTCGCTCGCCCGCCGCCGCGAACCTGTGCCTGTGCACTCGGCTTTCCTGCAACCCATCCAGTCTTTGCCTGGTCTGGTCCACAGCACTCGCCGCCATTGTGCCTTCCCCAGTGCGTCTCCTCGCCTCCTTTCGCTTCTGCGCCATGTCAGACTAACCTCGCTCCCCCAGATCGCTTCTTACTTATTGTAATACAGCATCATACTTCGCACCTCTAGCGACCATCCTGCAACCGGTTGCACCTTCCCCTTCTGCCATACATATTTCGTCGTCCGGTCCAACGAGTCCCGGGCGCAGTAATACATCTTCACCACGGCGGTTCTATCTCAAAACCCGCGGGACAGCTTCAGCCTGCCCCCGCACCTTCTTGATATGCAGCAACACGACGGTGCCCCTACCGCGCCTAGCGGTCCCCGTCTTCAGACTGGTTTCCCCAGGCAGGTCAATGGAGGCCATCACGGCTTCTCCCACGGTGCCTTTGCTACCAACCAGCCCGGCTACGGTGACAGGCACCCGGAGAGGGCCAACAACATGTCCATCAACACTGGCAGACTTGCCCCGGGCAACCAGAATGGCGCTGATTTGCAGACCCCCGGAACCGGTTTCGACATGAACTTCACCCCTCTGCTGCCTTCGCAGTTGCTTCTCGGCAGCCCTTTCCAGCCCGGTTCTCCCTCTGCGTTTGCGTCCCCACAATTCCAGAATTTTGCCCAGTTCGCGAGCCAGAACCAATCGCAGCAGCAGAACCACCAGTCTAACCACGTTGGTAGCCCTCTGCAGCAGCCTCTCTCGCCCCAGCTGTACCAAAACATGGTTTCTCCTACAAGCGGCTTTTTCGGTGGCCCACAGTCTCCCACTGGAGGCTTTTCTGGTTTCGGTGCGCAGGGCCTTGGTGGCCTCGGTTCCTCCATGCCAATTGCCCCTGGCCTAGTCTCTGGAACCAGCAGGACCGTCTACTTGGGCAACATTCCCCCAGAGACATCTGCGGAGGAAATTTTGGGTCATGTCAGGAGTGGCCAGATCGAGTCTGTCAGGCTTCTTCCTGATAAGAACTGTGCCTTCATCTCGTTCTTGGATAGCAGCTCTGCTACGCACTTTCACTCTGATGCCATCTTGAAAAAGCTCTCCATCAGGGGTCAGGACATCAAGATCGGGTGGGGAAAGCCTTCGCAGGTACCCACATCTGTGGCCTTGGCAGTACAGCAGTCCGGCGCTTCTCGTAACGTCTACTTGGGCAACTTGCCAGAGGATGTTACCGAGGATGAGCTCCGCGAGGATCTCAGTAAGTTCGGACCCATTGACACTGTCAAGATTGTCCGAGAAAAGGCTATTGGTTTTGTTCACTTCTTGTCGATTGGCAACGCCATCAAGGCTGTTTCCCAGCTTCCCCAGGAGCCCAAGTGGCAGGCTCCTAGGCGTGTATACTACGGCAAGGATCGCTGCGCATATGTTTCCAAGACGCAGCAGCAGAACGCTGCTCAGTACTTGGGCATTGCACCTGGATATGCACACGTTTTGAACGGCGCGGACCGTGATATGATTTCCAACGCCCTCGCCCAGCAGTCCGTAGCTGCGGCTGCAGTAGCAACCTCTGCTGGTGGTGTAAACAATCTGGGTAACCGAACTGTCTACCTAGGCAATATCCACCCGGAGACCACCATCGAAGAGATTTGCAACGTCGTGCGCGGCGGCCTTCTTCACCACATCAGGTACATTCCTGACAAGCACATTTGCTTCGTTACATTCATCGATCCCACTTCTGCAGCGTCCTTTTACGCTCTCAGCAACCTACAAGGTTTAATGATCCACAACCGCCGTCTGAAGATTGGATGGGGCAAGCACTCTGGCGCTCTTCCCCCTGCCATTGCCCTTGCCGTCAGCGGCGGTGCTTCCCGCAACGTGTATGTTGGTAACCTCGACGAGTCTTGGACTGAAGACCGTCTGAGGCAGGATTTCTCCGAGTACGGCGAGATTGAGTTGGTCAACACCCTGCGCGAGAAGAGCTGTGCCTTTGTCAACTTCACCAACATCGCCAACGCCATCAAGGCTATCGAGGCCATCCGAGGCCGCGAGGAGTACAAGCGGTTCAAGGTCAACTTCGGCAAAGACCGATGCGGCAACCCTCCCCGCCAGATGACCAACCAGCAATCACAGTCTCAGCAAGCCGGCAGTGATGGTCTCCAGTCGCCTTCACCCATCAACGGTCTGCACCCCAACCGTGCTGGTGCGTCGGTCTCACCCACTGGCTCTGGCGCTCCTGGCTCTGGTCAGAGCACCAATGGACAGTTTCCCTCTGTTCAAGCTCCTGCTTCGGGCAATATTCTGAATGCGAGCAGCAACAACAACCCGTTGATGATGTATCTCCAGGCCCAGCAACAACAGGCTCAACAGCAACAGGTAGAGGCCAACATGCAGCAGCAGCAGAACCAGCAGCAACAGCAACAGCAACAGTCATTCCAGTCGCCCCAAGCTGCCTTCTACGGTGCTGACTTGAACACATCTCAGCCTCACCACTCGCACAGCTCTCACCAGAGTACCTCAAGCTTTAGCCTGATCAATGGTACATCTGCTGGTGGCTCAGGAACAACCACTGTTGGCGGTCTTCTTGCGCCCTCGAACCTTAACTCTCGTGGTCAGCACTCGCGCGCTGTAAGCCTTCCCGCTTTCACCCAAGGGCCTTTCAACCACTCTATGCCTCAGACCCAAGCTCCTCAACAAGGATCATTTGGTAGTCTGAGTTCGGGCATTGGTGGATTTGGCAGCGGCAACGGTGGTTACGGCCTTGCGATTCAAGGTGATGGTGGCTTGCCTGGATGGGCTGAAGAGGAGGTTGGTGCGCAGTAAGCGCCCATTGCCATTTTGGATACTCGCAAATGTCATGTTCACATTAGCGACATCCGATTCAAATCTACGACGTCAACCTGTTGGTTACCACTCACCGCTTACCTCCCTTCTCCTTTCTTTCTTTTTGCAAATCTTTTTGAACCTAGGGTACTCGCGGAAAGGGCGTCGCTCTATTGATCTATCCAGGATCTGACTCTTCAACTATGTGTTGTAATTTGAACATGCGCGTTCTTTGCCTTAATACTTGACCTTACCACCTTCGCTTTCTCTTTCTTTTCTTCTTTCTTTCTTTGATTCTTCTTCTTTTTTTTCTTCATGGCTTGACATGTTTTTGTTCATGTTTGTAGTTTAGATACCTGTAGGGATACCTAGGGACAAATAGGTGTAGGGGCATGAGACTAGCACAGGGTCGACATGAGTGTCTAGGCTGGAGTTCGCCAGTGATGTTGGCAATTGAATTTTGTAAAAGCTCAAGTGTGTGTAATGCTCTTGTTTAGTGATGAGTGCTGAATACATGTGCAAGATCCTTTCCCTTTCACATGAATTAAGCGTGACTTTGCTCACTCAAAAACAGAACACCAACATTATCTAGATGAGGCTTTTGTGTATTGAGATGCCATGAGAAGACTCTTGTCGCATACATGCTTTCTTGATTAGAATATATGCGTATCTCTAAGCTAGTCTTTTGACGATCCCTACTGAGTAACCGGCTACTTGGACATAGTCCACGCAGCATGCCGACGGTGGAACGTTTCGCATAACCCATATATGTAAAAGTGAGACACCGGGTGCTGCTCTATCCCGTCCAAAGAACACTTCCCCCCAAAAAAAGGAAGATAAGAGGGTGACCGAGTTGAAAAAACCTCAGCCCCGGATTCTCAACGCATCACACCACATATGCACGGCCTGCTCGCGCTGCTTCTCCCTCTTGACCTCAGCCCTAGGCACCATCATGAACTCCTTAACTTCCGAACGCCCTAGATCCTTCCCTTCCTTGATGCGATTCCAGCACTCACGAATGACCGCCTGTGCATACTCGAAATCAATATCGTTCTGCTCGCCTGCATCCAGCGGTGCCCCGTTCTCCACAGCCGAGTACGCAGCGTCAGGTCCCTCGTCTGCGTCTTCTGCACCGACGGCGGTGGTAATACAGAAGACTATGCCGGGAGAGAGCATTGCGCCGGACTGAGGTCCCTCGCGTGTGGCGCGTAGTTCGCCGAGCTGGATGGTGCAGAGGCCCGCGGTGTAGGACGTCCCGTCGCGCACGGAGAGTACATGGCGCTGTGCCCAGAGCGCCGAAGACTGGTTCCGTAGCATCGAGGCGTGCGTGTCTTGCTGGCGCAGCGGTATCGAAGCGGTTGTCGCAGGTTGTGCGGCTGGCTGCGCGTAGATGTATGCTCTGTTTGGAGCGAGGGTGGAGAGGTGCAGCATGTGCTGGTACGAATGCGGGTATGGCGCTGGTTTACCGTCTGCACCGACGGGCGCCTGGTACCCTGGGGGTATCACGTCGCGGAATGCGCGGTAGGAGAGGGACCATGGTGGTTGGCGGGTGGCGGTTTGGAAGCTCGACTCTATGCTTTGGGTGAGGGTGTTTACGGTGGAGAGGGCGGCCTCGACGCTTGTGGAGGGGTTGGAGATGAAGTAGAGCCTGCTTTTGTTTAGTTGTGGGTTCAATTGAGAGTTTGGGTAGATAGCTAGAAGGCTTTTGCTTACCCGCTGTACTTCATCGTGGAAGCGGAGGAAAAATTTAAAAAAAAAAAAAGATTGCAGGTCGGGCGATATATTCTCAGGCACCGCGGCTGGTGAGAGGCCGGACATGACGGAGCCGGTGGTTTGGGGATCGGCGCATGGGCGGCTGTCTTGCACCCCCTGCTAGCTTCAGGGTCGGGGGACGCGCGACCGCGTCGGGAATCGGCACTCCAGCCTTGTCGTCTCAACCATGGGCTGGTCTGGCCATGCAGCTGCCATGCGTCTCCTGTCTCTCCCATCCCCATCTTGGCTGCATCGGTGTCCTATCTTGAGCGTTTGAACGCCGCCCACTACGTATTTTTTATAGAGTTTTTGTCTATTGAGATTGTTCCAGCTCGTCTTTCCCCGCCGCTATCTGCATCCATCGCGGCACCGCCGTTGCACTTGACTACTTCAACTTTGCTCTTATTTTTAGATCGTACACCTATTTTGATCCTTTTTGCTACATGAGATTCCCTCCATAGACTTCCCTTGGCTATCATGAGCCCCATTGTTCGACGCATTGTTGTACTGTTCGTCTCCACGACATTCTTCATCCTCGCCTTTCGCCAACTAGGCGCTCGAAACGGACTCCCATCGCCCACCTTTACCTCGTCAAATCGCATTACAAACCCTGTAGAATGGAAAAACGTTCCATTGCATCATCCAGTCGCCTCACTGGCGCCGTGGCCGACAGGCTCGCCTGCTGCCATCCCCAGGATACAACATGAGTTTGGAATCGAGACGGAGCACAACAAGGCAGAGAGAAAGCAGAGACAGGCGGCGGTGAAGAAGGCCTTTATGCATTCGTGGCGGGGCTACAAGCAGCAGGCATGGTTGCAGGATGAAGTGACTCCGGTGACAGGAGGCTTCAAGAATGGCTTCGGACAGCGTGCCGCGACCCTGGTGGATGCGTTGGATACACTGTACATCATGGGGCTAGACGAAGAATTTGAGGAGGCAGTCCATGCAGTCAAGAAGATTGATTTCACCACTACGGCTGTCCAACGGCTGAATGTGTTTGAAACAACCATTCGCTATCTCGGCGGTCTGCTCAGCGCCCACGATTTGAGCAAGGGGAAATATTCTACACTGCTGCATAAAGCAGTCGAGCTAGGCGATATGTTGTACGCCGCGTTTGACACGCCGAACAGAATGCCTGTGACACGGTGGGACTGGGAAAAGTAAGCTTTGTGTGCCTCGTGTGTGCAACCAAACTGTATACTAACGACCAACAGCGCTGCTCTGAGTGGCCACCAAGAAGCCGATGCGCAGGCGCTCAGTGCGGAGATTGGATCGCTGACGCTGGAGTTTACCCGTCTCTCGCAAATTACAGGCGACCTCAAATATCACGATGCAGTACAACGCATCGCGAATCTTCTAGAGAAACACCAGAGCCGGACCAAGATACCTGGTCTGTTTCCTATCCTTGTCAGTCCTTTCCGCGAGGAGTTTGATTCTCATGGCTCCTTTACTATGGGTGGTATGACGGACTCGCTGTACGAGTACTTGCCCAAGCAGCACTTGCTTCTCGGGGGAACAACGGATCAGTATCGAAAGATGTACGAAAATGCCATTGAGCCAGCCAAGAAGCATTTGTTCTTCCGCGCCATGGTGCCTCACAATCAGCACATTCTGGTTCCAGGAAACGCGCGAATTAGTGCTGCAGGCTCAATCAAGCTCGAGCCCGACGGTCAGCATCTGGCATGCTTTGCGGGCGGCATGGTTGGCCTTGGTGCCAAGATCTTCAATCGCACTGAAGACATGGACATCGCTCGCAAACTGGTAGATGGCTGTACCTGGGCGTACGAAGCTATGCCGACGGGAATCATGCCCGAGACGTTCAGCCTGGTGCCGTGCTTTGACGATGAAGACTGCGCCTGGGATGTTTCAAAATGGCATGACGCTGTTAAACGCTCATATTCTAGTGCGCTGCATGCACAGCATTACGACGTTCAGGATGTGATCAAGGAAGAAGGGCTTCAGCCAGGCTTTTCAAGGATTGAAGATCCCCGGTTTCTATTACGGTGAGGAGTTTGCCCTCTGCCCTTTATTTGTAACTTCATCTAACACGAACACATAGACCGGAAGCCATCGAATCGGTCTTCATCCTCTACCGCATCACCGGCGATACTGCCCTGCAAGATACTGCCTGGCGTATGTTTGAGTCCATTGAGAACGCTACCATGGCAGAGTTTGCCCACTCGGCTATTGCTGATGTGACTGTGCCCAAGGGACAGGGTCCACTTAAGCTGGACGAGTGCGAGAGTTTCTGGATGGCGGAGACGCTCAAGTATTTCTATTTGATTTTTAGCGAGCCGAGTCTTGTCAGCTTGGACGATTATGTCTTGTAAGTACTGGGCTCTGATCTATCCGCGACTATATTTTGATTGTGACAATGCTGACAAGTGGGTAGTAACACTGAGGCACATCCGCTGCGCCGGCCAAAAAAGACTTGATAATCTGAACATTTTCAGTGAATGACCTACAATATGAAGGAGATCTAGCCAATGTACATGTGTATATAGGATTATAAGAGTGCGAACACATTTTGCTTTGCCTCTTAGCAATATATCTGGAAAGTACATCTGAGAAGGATCAGGGGAACGCTACAGTCGAAATTCCATATAGACATAGACAATGGCCAGTTTGCCCCGCCGTTACACAATACGCAGAAATGCATGGTATATGCCAAGACTTTCCTGATTCGATTTAGTGTACTACAGCTGTACTTTAGCAGCTTAGTAACACCTAAAGCTTATTAGTAACTCCTCCTCTTTTTCTGTGTCAGCGAGATGTTGTATTTCAAATCCATGGTATGACTGGCTATAGCCAGTGGAATGCGGGGGTGTTTTTGTCCGACTGCTACAGTGCCGATAGCCCTTTCGAGCACAGTGCAGAAACAAACCCGGGAAACACCTATCTATTTGCTGGATGTCATCTATCTTACGACGCGAGAGGCTGACTATGCCCGGTGCATAACAAGTAAAGTTTGGCCAAGAAATTTGCTGGTGATTACATTCTTCTTTGATGGCAGCTTGGCCTGTAGCTTGGAGATGAGATCGTCGACGAACAGTACCGGATCACAAATCGTTGCAGTATATAAATTCTTTTGGTCTCGGACTTCACCAACTCTCTATCCATCTGTCAATTACAAATTAATCCCGAGTCGACTATCCATCTGCACAGAATCATGACAAAGACAATCGCTGTCATCGGCGTGACAGGAAACCAGGTGAGTATGAACTAAAACCTACCACCACCCCAACATTGTTGCACAAGATACTGAACATCTCAGGGCTCATCCGTCGCCCGTGTATTCCTCGCCGAGCCCGGATGGAAAGTCCGTGGCATCGCCCGGGACCCGTCCAAGCCCTCTGCCCAAAAATGGGCATCCCAAGGCGTCGACATCGTCCCCGGCAACCTGGACGACGTCAGCTCCCTCAAGCAAGCCTTCCAAGGCGCAAACGTAATATTCGGCGGCACAGACTTCTGGGGCCACCTCAACGACCCCGCCACGCAAAAGCTCGCCGCCTCGCAAAACCGCACGCCAAACGAAGTAGCATACGACCGTGAGGTATCCCAGGCGAAATCCATCATCGATGCCGCTGCCGCCAATCTAACCACACTCGACCGTTTTGTACTCTCCACTTTGTCCGAAGCGAGGAAGTGGAGCAACGGGACGATCAAGTGGAACTTGCATTTCGATGCCAAAGCCGAGGCGGTGAATTACCTCAAGTCTACGTATCCGGATTTGCTGGCGAAGACAAGCTTCGTGCACTTGGGGTACTATGCTAGTAATTGGAAGTCGTTTAGTGGGAGACCCATGAAGCAGGCGGATGGGTCGTTTGTTGTTAGTTTGCCCATGAGTGGGGAGAGGAAGATACCCATGGCGGATCCGGTTGCGGATACTGGTAAGATATTCACGTCTCTTCTTCTTCTTCTTTTTCGCGTCGGCTTGGTTCTTTTTTCTCTTGTGCAGAGGCTAATATGTTTCAAAAAAGGCCATTTCACCAAGGCATTGGTCGAATCGCCTCCAGGTATTGTTCTGAGCGGCGCCGGCTCGTTCATTTCGTTTAATGAGTGGTGCGAAATCTTTGGTCGCATTAACAATGTCAAATGCGTCTTTCAGATTATACCTCGCAAGGCGATGGAAGAGGCAATGGGACCGATATACGGGCTTGAGATTGCAGACATGTTTGAGTACTTTGACAAGTATGGGTTTGATGGTGGGGCTGACGTTGTCTTTCCGTGGGATATGGAGGTCAAGGTCAAATATACGACGATGGAGGAGTACATGAAGGGTGAGGATTGGAGTTCTGTGCTGTGAAGACCTTCTTGGGCGGAGGGTGAATATACCATGGGTAGTGTACCGATCGAAAGCTTATTCTTGTTCATGTGACGATGATCCTGGCGCGACAATGCTTTGTCACATATTGTCGACTTGTACGATTTCTCCTCTTTGTATCACCACGATCTTCTATACCGAGGTCATAATCAGGACAGGATCTTCCACATAGAAGGCTGGATGCTTACATTTCCGTGGGATGCGGGCCTAGTTGAGTGCGGGGTACATGACACGCGCGGTTACTAGTGGCAGCCGTGACAGCAACGATCGACTCTGTCACCCACATCTTTATCCTCACATATGTACTCTCTTATAGCCCAAAATCTGGCTAGCTACATGCAAGGGTCACTGGCGGGCTCCGGAAGCGTCTCATCGCCCGACAATTGGTCAGCAACCAGAGCGTTGCTTTTTTGTATCTACCAAGCCGTTTACCTCATCGTCCCTCTGATAACTCGATGAGATCAGTCCACTTTCACGCGAGCCAGATATCCAAGGTCAATTGCACATGCTGCTGCTTTTCTCTTAAGAACCTTACTTTTTTTTTTATGCAAGCCCATTGCAGCAAGGGCTCATATGGTGCAGGAACATTATTCCGACTTGGTCAAATGCATGTCACTGCTCAGAGCAATTCACTAACCTTGACTACCGGATATCAGACCACTACGGCACTGCAAATGCCGTCCTTCCCCAATCACGTCGTTCCATGCCAACGAGTACCAGGAAAGTCTAGAATGCCGATAGTAACCTTTGTACATTGCCGACAGCGGCAAGGCGCTCAAGTCAGCCGCGCAGCATGCACCGCACAGGGCTCGACTGAGAACCCGATCGATTGGTAGGCCAGTGAAAGATAGCCAACTCAATCTGCGCGCTCCTCTGCCAAGAGGATTGGGATTTGGATACTAGACCAGGTTAGCTTCATGCGTTCGCGCAGCGATCTACGCTGAGGGCACCCCCACCAGCATTATGCTGATGCTGTGCACACGGCGATACGGACCTATAAGTTGCAGTCGTCATCCATGGGGTAGGATGTGCCATATGCGATCGCCTGCGTATCATCGCAGCCTGCTGATGGCTCTTTTCCCGGGTAGTCGTGCATGGCACCTTGTAATACATGTACTTAAGCGGAAGGCGCCCCGCAGGTTGCATTGATAAGGAATCTGTATCTTGTTTTGCTTGCTGTGAAAGGCGGTTGGCTTGATCCATGCTAGCTTTCGTTTGTTTTATCAGTGTGTAGACGGGCTGGGCCTATCTTGACGATTTCAGCTTTGGGGCCGTACAAATCACTTTGTCCCGCCACATTTTGCGGGTATTCTGAGGTGGAGAGAAAAGTATCGGTACCAAAGAACAAAGGAAAAAGAAATCAAGAAATCAGTGGTCTGAGATGCCGTTCAATCTTTTGCTGCTGCTGGGTGCGGCTTTCCTCGTTGGCTCGGCTTTGGCCCTTCTTCGACGAAGCAGACGCACCATTCTCCTTGAGCGACTTCGCGCTGGCGGGCGAAGAGTATCAGGAGCGAGAACCCCTCCAAGATCTCTTTCACCCAGCCAAAAGACAGAAATTCCTCTCGAAGTCGACTACTCTGATTCGTTCCCACCATCACGGCGATCAACCCTAGTCGGGATCTTGAAAGATGAGGAACTCGACGAGCCAACGGAGGACTGGACGAAGAACATGCTGCCAATAGAAACGTCGTACTTGAAAGCCGACGACACAAAACGTCTCCCCTGCGGGTTTTCCGTCAAAGAGATCAAGGCTCTCGGCAACTTCCCTGACTATGCTACCCTCAGCGGCGTACCACTTCCAAACCCATATCCCGAGTTTGACATAAACAAGGCACTACCTCGACCATATCGACCGTTCCGATGGCCATACCACCAAACCATGTGTAAGTTATCTTCCTACAAAAAAAAACAAGAAACACCTTTGAACTTTACTAAGAACCAACCCAACTAGCCCTCAGCAAACTCCAACCGGACTGGTGGATCGAGCTCGAAAACACCTACATAGAACGCATCCAACAACGCAAAACCCTCTTCACCCAACACGGCACCGACGTCCTCGACGCCCTCCCGGGCTCCGAGCTCGCCTGCAAAGAACTCATGGAAACAGCCGTACAATTCCTCTGCGCCCGCTACCCGCACTACTTCTCCCTCTCCGCCGACAAGTCGATGCTGCAAAACCGCATCTTGAACTCTGAAACCAATCTCTGCGCTACACACCCGTTGCACGTGCTGCTCGACAATGTCCCCGAGGACTTTGCCGTCATGCTGCGCGATGAGCGCAGCGGCCGCTATGTACTGCGCGCGGGCGTCATTTGCAGTGCGTTGGGCTGGAATCTAGGGACGAAGCTGGGCAAGCATCTTGCGGATATTCATGCGCCGATTCCGGATTATAAGGAGAAAATGGCGTTTTCAATGGATAGGTATGTTTGTTTCTCCTTCTTTTTTTTTCTTCTCTCCTTTTCCATCTAACCCCCCCCCCCCCCCCATCCCCTTTCCTGTCCCAAAAGCGAAAGTAGAACAGAAGAAGGAGAAGAAAGAAAATGTCAATATGGAATTGAGTAGTAGATTGGAAAGGGGGAAATGTTTTGCTAACGCAACGTGAAAAAAAAAGATACTTCTCTAAAAAACCAACCGACAAACCCATCCAACGCGGCTCCTGGGGTCTCGAAATAAAGACCCCCCTCTACGCCCCTCCTTCCTCCCCCATCCTCACCCACCGCACTCACCAACTCCCCGCCTCCCTTCTCCCGCTCTCTGACATCCACTTGCGCGTAGACTGGCAAACGCTCCGCCGCCTCCCACTATCAGGCGCTGTGATATTCAACTTCAAAGCGTTGTTCACACCAGTACAAGAGTTCAAGGATGAACCCCGGGTCCCAGGGTTACTGTTGAAAGTGTTGGAAGAGGGGAAAAAGGAGTTGATGGAGTACAAGGGGACGTGGCATGTGGAGCATGTGGTCAAGGATGTGCTAAGGGCGTGGCATGAGGAGCAGGTGGCGAAGGGGTGGGTGGAGGAAGGGTGGGAGGCTGAGACGTTGGGGGAGAGTCCGTGGTTTGAAGGGTGGGAGGGCAAGTGGAGGGGGATGCAGGAGTTTTGATAGGGTTGGTTGTTGTTAATGGGGAGAAGGGTGATTTGAAGGAAAGCTGTTTTTTATGTAACTAGGAGTTTAACAAAAGGGAATTGAATGAGGCAGAATGAAGGAATTACTACATGGTCATACTGAATTTCTATATAGCCGAAAGAATAAGAAGAAGAAGAGTTTCTCACTTCCCCAGTCTCTTTGCTAGATCCCCTCGATAAATCCATGCTGCAGCTCCTGCAGCCACTGCTCCCAGGGTCCCGAGGACCAACGTTGTGTTACTTACGTACGACTCCTCATGCACACGTCCGATCTTGGTCGTCTGTTTTCCAGTCCCAAAGACGACCTTGCTGGCTCTTACTCCACCCTCCTTTTCAGCATGTACACCATTACCATTTACACCATTACCATTATATACAGGCCTGACGCTTGTGACCTCAAAATCCTCCCAGTCAACCTTGCTCATCATCTCCTGATAGTCAATCGCCGTGCCAGACCAATTATTCGTGATTCGCCCCTCGCTGTTCTTGTACCAACTGCTACAATTCGGGTCCGCAAACGAGCTCGTGGCAAGTTTCTGCTGGAGCTCATCATTGTACACTTTTGTGCGCTGGGCGTTAGGCACAAGGCCGATTCGCTTGCCACGGTTGCGGGCGTCGAGGACAGCGGCAACGAGGGCGTTGAGATAGCGCGACTGGGCCTCGATCATGAGGATGATTGAGTTGTGGCCTAGGTTCGTGTTGGGTCCGTAAAACATACCAAAATTAGGTAGTGAGGGTACAGAGGTGCCGTATAGGGCATAGGCACCACCCTTCCATATAGAGGAGAGGCCGCGGTTTTGTGTCCCGGTCACGTGAATGGGGTGTAGGAACTCGAGGGTACGGAAGCCCGTGGCGAGGACAATGGTGTCATGGTCGTGGTGTGTGCCGTCTTCGAGTTCAATGCCCGATTCGGTAACCCTGCGTATCTTTGTGGTCTCAAGCTGTGTCTTTGGGCTCGCGAGAGCGGGAAAAAAGTCGTCGGATATGATGACGCGTTTGCAGCCTGGGTTGTAGTCTGGAGTGAGTTTTTCCCAGAGATCAGGCCGGTTGGGAATCTGCTTCTCCATCATGCCCTTGCAGGCGGCACGGACATCTTTGGCCATGGGGCTTTGGTTATTGCTTACGGCATCATAGAAGGATTCGCGGAAATCCATCATCATGCTGCGAATGCGCCAGCTGACAGGGGGCACATAGCGCTGGAGGGCACGCCTGAAGTCGCTGATAGGACTGTCAAGACGTGGAATGACCCAGTTGGGAGAGCGCTGGTATACTGTCAAGGAGGAGATCTGAGGCAGAATGTCGGGTATGATTTGCGCAGCTGTTGCACCTGTTTGTTTGGTTGAGCTAGCTTGTCGAACCACTGAGCACTGCGATACATACCGTTTCCAATGATTCCAACACGCTTCCCCTCGAGGGTGTGGCTCCAATCCCAGCGTGCAGAGTGCATGACTTTGCCTTTGAAGTCTTGCAGGCCTGGTATATCGGGATATCGAGGCTGATTAAGCTGGCCGACTGCCGAGACCAGAAAGTCGCACTCGATGCTGTATCCAGAGGCAAACTCAGCATCCTTGCTACCGATCACATTGACGTCAACTCTCCATCGGTTTTTGGAGTCGTCCCACGTCGCAGCCTCGGCGGCGGTGTTGAAGCGAATGTATTTGTACAGGTTGTACTTGCGTGCTACATTCCGAAGGTAGTCGAGTATCTCCTCTTGCCCTGGATATTCTCTCGTCCACTCTGGGTTTTGCTCAAACGAGTAGCTGTACAGCATGCTCCAGACATCACAGCAGCAACCAGGATATTTGTTGTCATGCCATGTGCCACCGACGCTAGAACTCTTTTCTACAATGATGAAGTTGTGGCATTTGTTGCGTTTGATGAGATCAATAGCCATGCACATGCCTTTAGATATTTAGCCCAGTACGATCAGGCAGTCTGACTGGGATACTGACCAGAGATGCCGGCCCCGATGATGACAACTGCAGCATCGGTATGGGTTTTGTTCTGGACCGGAACCTGATGCCATGGTTGCGAGCCGCCCATGATGAAAGTACTCGAGAATGTAAGGATTAGGGGATGGAAGAAGGATTGAGCGGTCTAAAGGGGGGATACAAGAGACGAGCTCGCTCGGCCGAGTAAAAAGCAAGCCACGTTATATGTGCAACCAGCGCAACGCCTGTCCTGCCGTGCGGACGAGTGACATGACCATCGAAAAGCTTACAAAAACCCGGCAAGCGGTATAGCACCGGCATGACGCAGTGAGTGGTGGGGAATACCATGGAGATTCTCGGCCAAAGTGATTTGCAGACAGCTTCCCCTCTTCCCATATCCGTCCAGTTCCCGCCCGAGGTTGTGCAGCATGGTGCTTTGTCATTATGCAATTACACTCCCGTTTTTACTACACTCGGACATATTAAGCCTAATGAAGAAGAGTGCAAATGGATTATGAATCGAATGCCCTGGCCTGCTGCAATCCATGCGCAGAAGTGTTCACGGGTGATAAGGAGCAGTGGTGTGGGCTCTCAGCAAGACATGCGTAGCGGGTTGTGGGGAAGGCGCAAGGGCGGGGAAGGCGGTATCCGGCAATGGTGGGCCATTGGGGCCGGAGTGCGCCAATCACCAACTAAACTCACCAGACGCGCCTGACAACAACAGGTACGGACAATATTACAGACCAGCCCAAGTTGTAGTGTCGTCAACGAGTGTAGTGGACAAAACATACAGATGTGCGCATGTATGTACGTACATATGTACGAAAAGGATGAGCTGAACAGGGCGCCCCGCTTCTTCGCCGACCGTCTGGGTGGCCTGGCAGAGTGCCTGGTAGTGTATGACCCCACGATTCTTCTTGTCGTTTCCCTTTTGGACCAAAGGCCATGTTCCGCTTCTATTGCTCAACTCTTTCTTCACCGCTGCTGCTGCTGCTGTTGTTGTTGTTGTTATCGTGGTTTCGCATCGGCCTTGTTGCTTGGTTGCTCGTCATTGTCTTCTGGCGGAGGGTCGAATTCGCGCGTGTGTACCACGCCCCATCGCACTTTTTTCTCTCCTCGGCTATCATGGTCTTGGTGGCTGCTTGTACAACGTGTAGAGCCTGTGGAGCCTGTGGAATCTGTAGGATATGTAGAATCGATGGAATCTGTAGAATAAGTCGAACCCGTACAACTCGCAGGCTGTGGCGGTATGGCTGGAATTGGAGTGACTGCCCGTATTCGCATCCATGCCTCGCTCATCTCCAGCCTCGATATGGGGAGCCGGCCATGTCTGGGCTGAGTCTTGAGCTCGCCTCGTGGAGTCCTTGAGTGTCCATGGTGCCGGTCTGCAACAGTGCTGAGCCTATCACGGGCGGTGGGGAGTTGTGTCGACGAGACGTGCTTGGCTTCTCTGCGGTGATGAGCATGATGGCGTCTGTCGTGCAGCATGTAGTCTAATGCATGATGCAGACACGGGCACTTCATCGCTGAGGGCGTGGGAGCCCGCGAGGAGGAAGCTGCCGTGCATCTCTTGACATTGCAAGAAGGCGACGAGGAGCAGCGGGAGCCGCTGAAGCCTCTCCATGGCTTCGACTTCTAGGGTTGCTGGGAGATGCATGGACGTTTTCTGAGAACAACTGGCCAAGCGCAAGACGGACTGACGTGTACGTATGACACAGGCGGTGCACATGGAACACTGCTCCAAACTATCTCGTCATTTATAGCAAGCGCAGTTACGCACGTGCCTGGGGCCCAAAGTCTGGCGTCAGCATCGTGTTTGCAACAGGCGATCCGGTTGCTGTGACCGATGGCGGTTTTGATGGTGCATGGCATGTCCAAGGGCTTGTCATGGATGTTGTGACGGATCCCAGGCGGGCTGGGTGCATTGGGTGTAGGGCGGTACACGTGGTGATGTCACGTGGGGGCAGGGGGCGATGTTGGTTCAACGCGGCAGGGCTCGAGTCAAAACCATTCTTGGCCTCGCCGTCTGCATCGACTTTTTGCTTGTTTCTTGTTTCCCGTTGAACGGCACGGACCCCACAGCAGACATGGGCAGACTCGCAACATCCAAGTAAAGTAACCAAGCATGCGCTGGCGGGCAGACGACACAACAACAGAGCTAGGTGAGGGGCTTGTAGCCGGAATTGCTCGTGTGTGTTGATGAGAACTTCAGTGGGCCGTGGGCCGTGGGCCATGGGGACCCGTAATGGACCGAGATACGAGAGAGCAGGCGGACTGTTTGGCCCCAAGCAGCAGGTACAAGGCGTTGAAGCGACCGTTTGGAGGTCTGTTCTGTGCGGTCGGTGCACAGCATTGACCCGCCCGGAGGCTGTTAGGGTTGTGGGCATGCGAGGGAAATAAGCCAGCCAGTGGCAGGGCCAAGGTGGGTTTCGCCAACACAAGACTGGCGGGATGCTTGGAAGCACGAGGCTAGTCGCGGTTGGACGGCGGATGGGGCGTATGCTGTGATACTTGCCTACTCTACATGTCCCTATACATAAGTACACACTAGATGCTGCACCCCGCAAGCAGACGCGACAGTTGGGAGCGGCGCACAGAGGGAGAGCAAGACAAGAGAGAGAGAGAGAGAGAGAGAGAGAGAGAGGGAGGGAGGGGCAGCCGGCGTCCAGAGCGCCTGTGGGGGATTTGGGATGGTGGGTGGAGCTGAAGCTGGATCGAATCGAACAGTCATTACTTACAATAGTCAGTAAGTAGTCAGTAGTCTATGAGAGCCCATGTAAATCAATCCATCCATCCAAGCATCCAGTCCAGTACACATGCACACAGCTATATGCGCTTAAATTCAATAGCGCCGTCCGCTCGCTCTAGGTACATGGATGCGGCGAGCCAGACCATGTCATCATAGCTGATTCCTCTCCTCGTACCCAGTGAGCAGCGGACAGCGACAACGCCTTGGATGTCTCCCCTCCGGCCATGTACACAGATATATATGTCTGAAGCTGAAGGATTGCCTGCACGACGAGTAGAGACACGCCCTGTTCCCCCCCACCCATGCAGCCGTGGCGGATGTGGTAAGCTGAGGTCGAGGACAGGTCGCTTGTTGCAGCAGTGATTGGCCGCAACCCCAGCGTCTCTCCGTGTTCTCGACTGTTGTGGTAGCACTGGGTCTGCGCATGGCGGATTGGGTCGCACCCTGTCCTGCTGCTAGCTGCCATTCTGAAACTCAAACACCTCCTGGCGGGAGCCACCATTGCCCGCCTGCCTGCCTATACTTGCCCATCCCATGTCCGTCCTCTTCTCCTCTTTTTTTTTCTTCTTCCTCTCCGGCGCGCGCACTAGACGCATGCCCACTTCCCACCACCTCTCCCCACAAACACAACTACGGTTTCGCTGCAGTAGTCGGCAGTAGCTCTGTCGGGCCATTGCTAGCCGACCATACATACTCTACCACTTTATCACTACGTACGCGCACGCCCTCCCGCACACCGTCATCACTGCAGCCGTGCGCACTGGTCGGCCGCACTCAGACTTATTCCTACCACGCCTTTGCACCTAATAATATTCCTCTACGCTTTCCCAGCTTGCCACTGCCCAGACTGTCTATTTAGTAGTCGTAATCCACATGGCCCGCAAACTCTCCTTCACTCTGTCTCCTGTCGTGCGTACTCCACCAAAATCCTCGATCCACTTGCTCACATCTCCTTCTTTTAGAAAACCGCCTCCAAGCAGGACCTTGCCGGCAAAATGACGCCAGAAACCAACCCCCTACACGCCTCGTCCCACAAAAGACACTCTTCCAAAGACACCATATGTGACAGCTCGCCCTGGATCAACCGCCGCGTCCTCGACACCCAGACCGACCAAGAGCTGCGCGCAGCATGTCGCCTCATCCTCAAAAACTTCAAGCCCTCCGACCATGGCATGGAGAATACCGACCCAAAGCTCGATTTCGCCGGCCTGGGCTTCAGGCCACGCAAAGAAAGCAAACCTCCTCAGCCCGCCGATGTCAATGCGCGTGTGCCTGCTGCTGCCCCGCCAGAACCCGCCTCAACGTCGTTCCTGCCACGATCGCGCAGCACAAAGGTCCGCACCAGGGCAAAAGCAGACATGGAGATAAGAGCAAGGCAGAATGGTGATCTCCCTGCGCGAGCAAATAGCAGCCGCAAGCGTGCTGAGCGAGACGCTGAAAAGGATGAAAGACTACGCAGCTTTGGCAAAGCTTCCATGGACGTACCCAGGCCCGCCATATCTTGCATCTCCAACGAAGACATTACTCTTCCTGTCACCGTTACATCCACTCTAGCAACCTCGAAGAATTCTGCCCCTCACAACTTTGATGATCCCGTTGCTGCTGCAGATGCCCAGGCATCCGAGTGGATGCGTCTAGAAATGGACAAGAGGCGCCAACAAGACACGGCAGATCGCCAGCGCCGACCCTCGACCTCGGTCCGCCCGCCAAGTCGTGCCGCGAGTATCAAGGAAAGCGTCATCGAATATGTATTCCCCGGATCTCGAAGTCGCGCCCTCAGCCGCGCACAATCCAAGGAATCCCTGCGTTCGCCAGCCGACAGTAATGACACTGGCCTTTCTCGCAATGGCTCAAATGCAACTTGGCGAAGTTGGGGCCTGCGCCGCATGAAAAGTACGAGAAGTGAAAATAGGTCAGGGTCCTCGCATGGCCAGGGAGACGACGGTGCACAACCTAGAAAGTCAGAGTCGAATACCGTCAACCTCAACAGAGAGCTTCCACCATTGCCCAGTCTGGACAGCTGGAAAGAACCTGAAAAGCCCAAGCAAGAAGTGGCATCTCCCAAATCACCCACAGCCGAGACACACATTGCAAGTCTTATGCGTCCACAAGAACAGCATCCAGAACGCTCGCCTGCCGCACGGAAACAGCACAGGAGGAGTGGGTCAGATACTTTAGCCATGCAATACACCGCTGCCTTCCCCGCTCGCAAATCCTCCCGCCGGCAAGGCACACAACCAATTTCCCAAACACCCACAAGTGCCGTTCCAGCCAGTGTCGTATCAGCCAGCCCCAAACCGACAGAAAAACTCGCAACAAACGCATCCTCATCAACCACCAATGTCGACCAGCAGCAGCACACCAAAACCGCTTCTTCAAGCTCGCAAACCCGCCCCCGCAGCGGCGAAAGCAACACCACCGCCCAAGCCTCCAACTTTTCCCACCGCATGAGCATCGACTCCCCCGCCGTCCTCAAAACTCTTTCCAACGAACCCAAGGCCCCCGCCAAGGAGGAGCAGAAATCCAAGCTCAAAAAGATTTTCAGCGGCTGGATTCATAAAAAAGATAAAAAGGACGATTGGATGCACAAAATGGAAAAGGAGGGTATCAAGGAAGGTGTCTTGGTGCAGGATAGTAATGATGCTCTTGCTGCTCCTGTTGTGAGGTATTAATCCTTTTCTTTCACTTCCTCTACCTTTTCCTTTCTTTTTTCTTCCTTTTAAACTTTTACCTGCACTTACTACTACTACTACTACTACTACTACTACTACTACTACTACTACTACTACTACTACTACTACTACTACTACTACTACTACTACTACTACTACTANACTACTACTACTACTACTACTACTACTACTACTACTACTACTACTACTACTACTACTACTACTACTACTACTACTACTACTACTACTACTACTACTACCACTACTATTACTACTTATTACCATAACTTTTACTCTCTCCCAACATCCCAACTTCTTTTCTTTTCTTCTTTTCTGGGTTCACTTTCGTTTCGTCTGTATTCAAACAAAAAACCTTAATTTCTTATACCCTTTTTTTCGTTCTTCTTTCGGAGGGGAGGTGTCATGGAGATTCAAGGAATTTGGTGTGTACTTGGATTTGCAACGATGAAGACAAAAGCTGCATTACACTACATACATACTTATATATATCATGACCAATAATGCATGTATGCTTTGCCATTGCCATCAAGATTTCTTTCCATGCGTTTTTCTGTTGGATTTTTAAAGCAAAAATGCGGGTTGTGTAACTCTGTTTTTTATATACACCAACATGTATGCGTTACTAGAGATACCGGTATTTCAAAACAGTCATATTTGTTCGGTGAAGAAGGCAAAAAAAAAAAAAAAAAGTCCAAGTCAATCTTGACCCAAAAATTGTACGTCATACTAAACCACCCCTTCACCACAATGGTCAACAATGGTCAACAATTTCACGTTTTTTTCTCTCTTAGACACTTTCTCCGTGTCACATTATACAAGCTAGATGTACGGAACCATCATCAGAATGCCTTTGTACACAATAATACCACTAGCATACCACCAAACCCCATCTAATACACGCTATCTATGTATGCCATTCCGCTAATCCTTTGCATAACCCATAGAACCATAACCGTAAACCATAGCCCATAACGGACAAACCATGCGTCGTCCATGACGCTCAATCATGCGCCTATACGCTATGCTGCAGCACTCTCAACAATGTACCCAGACGTCACGCTCCAAACAGGACCGCTCGCATCATTTGCCTTAGCCTACCAATCACCCTCTGCACCATGCCCTGCACTCGGCGCGCCATCCAAATGTTGACATGCACAATCAAAAGCACCACAATCAAAGGCATCAGGAAGAACAGGAGCGCGTAGGCCGGTCCCATCACCCCAAAAGCCACCACATAGTCGATGAACCGGTCCTCGTACTCGACCAAATCGTCCGGGTCGAAAAGGGCTAGTGGCTGCCGATCGTCTACCATTCCGCAGGCACCTGCTTCCTTCCTCGAGCTACATTCCATTAGTCATCTAATTTCTCAAACTGTGACAACGGGGGCGGGCGTGGACACGGGAATCACCACCTGTCCACTCCTGACCCTCCTGACAAGACAGTGTTGAAAAAGTTGCCATCACCCCCGCCTCCATAACTGCCACCGGGGTATCCACCACCCCCTCCGTATCCACCCATGGCACCCATGCGGTTTTTACCTTGGTTCTTTCCATGTTCGACAATAGAACTCTTACGACCAAATTCCTTGGCAGCCGATACCGAGTTTGTAATAGATGCCAGCAAATTAACCAGTTGGACATCCGAAGCCTCTTGCTGAGATTCGAGGGTAAAAGCAGCAGCGTCTGGGGGGGCAAGAATGTTGATTCGAGCGAGCATAGCGGAGATACTGCGAAGAATTGAATGGTTTAGAGGCAATGAATGTTGCTCGTCTGGTGTAGGATTGATGGGTAGCGAAGCATCGGACAGATATGACGGTGGAAGCGAGTTGAGGTAGGCGCGGAGCAGAGCTATACGTCGACCAAGCATACGAATAGCGTTCATCTTTGCTGTAAGGGTAGACAAAACTAAAGGTCGGTCAGCACTTCTACATCATGTCCACAGTCTTGAGGATGGACTTGCTCTCTTCATCATCTGCGCTCAAAATTTGCGACTCCTCGATTGGAGTATCTTCCGGCACCTTCTCCTTCTCTTTCTGTTTGCTTCGCGTGCTTCGTTTTCCAGCATCCTCGTCATTCGCTGAAGCTTCGGCACTCGACACTGGAACATCGACTGAGCCCTCAACCGCAGTTGCATTTCCTCCACCACGGGCGACAAAGTCTACAGATATCATCTCGGCCTCACCAGTCTCAATAGAGTACACTAGCTCCCGGAACTTGGTTGACTTTGGTTGTACTGCGCCATCGACATCCATGACCTTATCGTTCGGTTCGCTCGACGTGCTAACAGAGACGGATTCGTAGACTGTAAGTGGCAATTTTCCGGCAGCAGTTTCCTCAGAGAAGGCATTTTCAGGGTGGAAGAGAACAAGTAACGGCGATTCGGTATAGACTTCAGATATCCGTGAATGTATGGGAAGAAGGTGCGGCTCGGGGCCAGAGGCGGGACCAAGGGTGAACCATCCGACAATGTCGAGTTGGGGCTCTTTGTGTACATCCTTGACTGGCATCTCCGTAAGCGTTCGTTTGGGTATACCTGTTAGGAAAATGGGGTACGACTTACAATCCTCGATCCGCTTGCTGAACCAATCGTCATCGAGCGTTGTTTCACCGTCCTCGTTTGACTGGAGTTTTGCTTGGAAAGCGACCTCCATGGTGATGTTCTGTCCATCCTGTGCCCCCAATATGGCACCGACTACCGGTCCTGTCTGCTGTCGTAGCGTGTGTCGTGTTACACAATCGGTTATTGTGAGGAGGACCAGCGGGTGAAGCTGGACTGTGGGACTGGCGTCAGAGGCGCGGGTGGTTGAAACAAGCGGGTTTCCCGATGATTCCGCCATTTTTGTTGTGTACACAAAGTGACTTGTCTGATGCACACACCGGGGGGTCTGGAGGGGCAATTAGAAGCTAAAGGTGGAGGTGGAGGTGCAAGGCAATGGCGGCGGTATCGTCAATGGTGGGGAGCTTGCTAGGCTGCAGCTGCTGCGGTTCGTGGGGTTACGCCAAGCCGCTAGTCTGGAGCTCTAGCTGGCAACTAGACTATTACTACATGACGCGATTCTGTCGACTACAACCAAACTCCTCACAATTTCACAACTCCATCCATTGCTCCTTAATCGATTACCATTTATCATATTTTCCAGCTCAGTACAGACCGGAAGCTTTCCTTTGTCAACCTTAACCCTAGTTGATATCCCAGAATATTCTACTCCGGATGCGTACTAAAACAGAAGCGAGTGGTATCTCAGTCTTGAACAGAATCCCAAAATTATCCTGTGAACGCCAGGCTACAACATGTAGCACTCCCATTACACCTCCAAACATTCTCTAATACCCACAATAGTCCTTGAAGAAAGAATTTACACAATTACAGGTCGGCCGTATTTACATCTCAACAAGGACTTTGACAACCAAGTTGCCGTCCTTGTCCATGGTCTTTCCGGCGAGCTCGAAAGCTTCTTTGGTTGAAGCGAGGCCATGGTATCTTATCAAAAATATTAGCCGTTGTTCTGCGCGTATGCTATAGGATTACTCACCTGTGCGTAATCATGTTGTCGAGGCTCGGGAGGACACCTGCGGACAGGATCTTGATACCTGTTGGGTAGGTGTTTGCGTATCGGAAAATCCCGATGATGTCAACTTCTTTCAAATGTGATGCTGACATGGGAAGAGTTTGAATCGGTGTGCCCATGCCGACCATGATCAGCTTGCCGCCGGGTCTGGTTGCCTGTGGGTTGGTCAGCATTGGTTCCACGTCAACTCCAAGGGTTCACTTACATAAAGTCCGGCTTGCATGCACACCTCCTTGCCAGTACAGTCAAACGTCACATCGGCGCCTTCAAAGTCAATCTCGTTCAGCGACGCAATCTGCATAATGTCTGCAGCAAGCTCCTTTGCAGCAGCAAACTGCTCCGCGCCTTCGGTTGCTTGTGCTTGTGCAGTCACGATGTAACCCTTATTCGCGAAGCCGTTCGCTAGAGCATAATTTATGCGTCCATAATCAATATCGGCAATGACAACCGTTGTGGCACCAGACACCTTGGCCATGGCAGCAGTCAGAAGACCAACAGTACCTGCGCCGAAGACGATTGCAGTGTCACCCTGCTCAATCTGAGCTCTCCTGGTTGCATGGATCGCAACCGAAAGTGGCTCCAAAAGCGCAGCCGACTCCATGGATACGTGTGAAGGGAGTCTGATTAGAGTTGTCAGCTAAGGCTCGGACTTCGGGTCGATCATGCACAACATACTTGTGGCACCATTTTGCAGGATGGTTGATGCGTTCCTGAAGGGTCCCCTGAAAGTGAGGTACAGATTTGGCACTACTTCGGAACCTCATCTTAGGGCAGAGGTTGTAGCGGCCCCTCTGGCATGACCGGCAGTTATCACACGGCACACCAACCTCGAGTGCAACACGGTCGCCAATCTGGTAGCCAGTGACATTGTTGCCGATGGCCACAACAACTCCAGCAGACTCGTGGCCTAGCGATAAAGGCTCACAAGCCTGCAGATCGCCGTTGCGGAACTTGCTGTAGTATGAGCAATCACTGCCGCACAGCCCGGTGGCTTTGATAGCGATCTGGAGTTCATTGGCGGCGGGATCTGAGATTGTTCGAGTTTCCTATTTGAACCTGTCAGCCTGCCGTCTCGGATGTTCGTTGTATACGAATGACACCCCCACGGACAGTGGGTAGGCGTGGGGTGGGATAACGAAAGCGGAAGGCATACCAACCGCAAATCCCTTGGCCCATGCAAGACCGACGCTACGACGGTCGAAGACTTTGTGTAGTGCCTTGCTGGGATTGGGCAGATATCTGCTAGAGCTGAGGGCGCCATTACGTGAAAGATATAAAAGTAGTGGGAGATTTGGCAATGGTACGGGAAAAGGAGAAGGAGAAATGGCTAGCAGGAGCCCACCCCACGGGAGCGTGGAGGCTGATATACTTGTTGAGAAGACGTATTTCGATCAATAGTAAATGGGCGCGCGCTGGGCTTGCCTCAGATTCGTGCATCGGCGAGATAATGGCATCGCATGAGAGGAGACTTGAAGGTTCCACGTCATTTGCTAGGCGGCTCAATCTGGCGGGACAAGCAAGGTCAAGGGTGGACAACCAAAAACTACTTGGTACGGTAGCCATTGCCTAGTCATTTCTTCATACCGTTACTCTGGTAGTATACGTGAGGCTAGATCGTCTTGTGGGTACGCCGCGGAAAGCATGTGCAATTCGACCGAAGAACTAGCGGCAACTGGTCTTGGCCCGTTTGAAGTCGTTCTGCCGAATCAACAGCTACCAACGGCCGGAGCGTGCATACACAGGATGCGATATATGAGCAGTAGTCATATTGTGGTGTCTATTGTGGACGGGCCTTTTGGCGATGCCCGTCTATCAGAGACGAAGCTGGCGTTGTGAAACGGCGATAAGGCACTCTGCGCAGCTTGCCTTCAAAGGTTCCGTTGGGATTGCTTTGAGTGGATCAGTCCGTTCTTGTGGCCCTGTCGCTGCATGGATCCCTGGATGATATGCAGGAAACATCAGCCTGATATGCGGGCTGTCCTGTGTCGAGGGTGCCAGCCGTCAAGCCATATCTCCACAATAAGTCTTCCGAGAACCCCAGCGCAACGTCAGTGCTGGACTCCTAGGGCCTATCTGCCGACGGAAGAATACGAACGTTGACTGGCTAGAATACTTGGCTGAGTTTCCAGAAGACCTCTGGAAGCCCCCTGGAGCAATCAAACCTCCTGGGATATAGTAGTGTCCTAGTACATAACAGTGCGAACGACTCACACTCGACGGCGCGCCTCCTCGCTAAGAGCCTCGGTGAGGTAAGATGCTTATCCTATAGCACACTACCTTGGGGATGCTAGGGCAACAGTGTGTGGTCAAAACCCGTTGGCTGGATGTCGGCTTGTAGTAGGTCGGACGTGCGCAACGGTGCACCTACCATGAAGCAGCTACTAGTTCAACGAGAGGCATGAACTCGCGACCGGTCTGTCGGAACAAGAAGACGTACATAAGGCTTCTTATCGGGGCGACTCCAGAGTCAACTGCACAAACGACTGGTCAAGGGCATATCAACCAGCTACCAGCTGCAGCTACGACCGAGGAGCGGCCACCAACGGCCAAGGGGATTTGACATGTGCCACTGGCTTCTGCATAAACATGACGAGAAGGCACCGATAACGCAATGCAATGCTTTGCCGGATCTGCCAATCCGACCGAGACATGAGGTTGAGCATGGTCCACCCGCAATCGAGAGGAATAACGGTGATCGTGGCCGCATGGTAGGAACCACTAGACAGGGGTGGGCCACGAGCGAGATGAGAGGTCGTTGGGGCAAGCCGTAGGTACCACGGAATGAGGATATATCTCTCCGACCGTTTGGCACGGACGCCCCTACGTACGGGACGGCAAAAGCACACGTTTGAGAGCCGCTCCTTGCACATGGTCGAACCTTGTATGACAGAGCACCATGGTGGCTCCAGCCGTCCTGGCAGCTGGAGGTAGACCAACCTCACACGTACCCAAGACACAATACGAGCTCGCCACGAGATGCTATTGTATAATATGCACGCTGATAAGACGCGATCACATACGAGTCGCATGTACTAACTACTACCTCGACTTGCTTGGTGACACTACTCAAGACCCTGCCGATAGCCCGTACGAACCCTGAGATCATGCATCACCAAGCAGCAAATCCTCGACCTCGCTGCATGGGCCTTCGAAAGCAGAAGGCGGTGAGCTTGGTCAAACATTGCGCGCCCATTCCCAACTCGAATTTTAATACTACCCACTCACACGCGCTTTATCGCAACTTGCATCAAGCATCTATATCTCAGGCACCGGCATTTGCGTCGCAGCGGTGAGCGGGTAGATCTTGGTCTTTTGCCGCCAGAAACCTGGGACGACGAGTCAATCTTGATCCTGGGGTTGTAGCCGCTGCTGGAGGCGGTCTGCCTGCTTGACGTAACGGGACTGCATCCTCCTATCGCACCCTGGGTACGTATACTACCCAATCCCAAAGAAGCTACAGATATTGCGGACGTACGGCTCCGCGCCAGTCCATTGGCAACACCCTCATCGCGCCGAGTACAATTCACAACCACCAGATAGCCACAAGGTACAACGCAGTGACACCACTGGCTATACTCTGCAGCACAAGTCCCAATCCTCTGGGTGGCGCACGGACGGGGACCTGCATCCCGAACATCTTGTACCAGGAAAGTAACATGTTCCAAGATATCTTTCCCACTCACAAAACAAATGTGGTGATTGTTCGCTTGGAAGAATACGCGGCAACGCTAACGGATGAGCGTTCGAATCAAGACGGGACAAGAACAAAGGATTGGGAAGGATTCAGAACACCCGGTTGCATGTCAATGACGGGCCAAGTGCCTAGTACTACTACTTTTGCCGTTCTGTGAGAGGTTAGAACCTCCGGAGATACCGAGGAAGTCACCACCATCACAGCACACTTCGCAACGCCTCATTTCTAAGGGTAAAAAAAACCGAGGGGATGCCAGTGCGTTGTAAGCGAAGATCGGAGATTGTACAACACATGGCAAAGTCTTGTCTGATACAAGTGAAAAGAGTCATCGTCTTAATTGCCACGTTAGTGATCTTGCATTTGACCGATAGGTAAGGAATGCCGACCATCGACGACTACATGTCAGTAGCTAGCAAAACGAGATGGTGACGCAGGCCAATCTGCAACACGGCCTTGAGTGCGGCCTTAGCAGGGATCGACTCGACATTCAAACCCTCATTGACTCAACATGCAGTTTGCAGTCAGCAACTCGTCAGCAGCGGGTCGTCAGCAAGAACATCAAATCCACATTGCCGAAAACTCTAATTAAACAACCCTCGTACTAGCGTACCGGCAACCCGATGTCGCTCGATGACAAGGGATGCAATGGAAAGCATATGCCGGACCAAACAACGGATAGAGCCGCAAAACTGCAATTGCAATTGCAATCATCTTTGCTCCCTGTGCATGTACTCGGTATTACTGTATGTACCTAGAGGACGATCTTGCCACCTCAACCCTACAGTCACTGTACCACCAGTCATGCGACACGGAAATGATATAAAAACAATTCCGTTTAGGCGAAATTTCCATGGGGCTCCACTACTCCTTGCATGCACACTGCACACTCGTCACCCGGGCGAACCGTTAGGGGGTCCAGAAAAAAAAACATGCTCAGACCACACAGACGTACCCACAATAGCTTCGTGTCTATAACTCGTTTCAAAGTAGGCGGAATTACGGTTATTGTATCCCCGTGGGATTCTACATATTGTGCTATGCTAGCGCATCCTTTCTAGATCCGTCTCAATCCCCCCCATTTTTTACAATTGACTGTTTGGGTGCTTGTCTACAAGGCCTTGCGCCACAAACCATTGGCGGATAATTCGATTCACCTCGTCTGGCTTCTGTATCATGGCCCAGTGCCCAGTCGCCACCTCGCCCCTGGTGAGCTGTGGGATGAAGTTCTCCATGCCCTTTGACAACTCTGGCGTGAGGACCATATCCAGCATTCCTTGGATGAAGAGAATAGGCTGCGTAATGGTCTTCTTATCAAGCAGCTCTTGCTCTTCTTCCCAGTTCAAGCGGCGTGTGCGGTACCAGTTGACTATATTGGGCAATCGGGTTAGCTAGAGGATTTCGCTATGCGAATGTTGGTTAGGAGCATAACGTACGGGTAGGATGGATGCCGTGGTTAGAGTATTGCTTGACGTAGTAGTCTAGTTCCTGATTCGCTGTCAGTACACCATCGCTTGAGGAGAAACAGCATCCACGCCTTTCTCTCTGAAACAAGACAATGACGACAGTTGGTGACCATGACCCGTAGTCCAGGTTACACTCGTGTCGAGCAAACAAAAAAGGGGCCGATCTTCTGGATGTCGTGCCGGCAATCCTGCACCAGATACCCAGACGGGTAACAATGGCTGCCGAGCACGTCTCGCTCGTGACCCATTATCACTGCCTCGAAAGAGAAGCTATCTTTGCCTTTCTCCCGGTTTCCCCGACTTTTAACCTAGGAAGAAGAAGAAAAGGGGTCGCCTCTCGACACGCGTCCCAGCATAAAGAGATCAACAACGTACCTTTCCCTTCAGGAGCACGCCTTCTCCGACCTTTGCCAAGTTCTCAGATAGCACACCCTTGGTAGGGTTGAAGACAACTTCGCCGTTTGGTCCCTTGGCGCCATACATGCCCTTTAGGAACTGTCTGATAGTTTCCTCATCTTTGATCACCTTCTCCACCTCACCAGAGGCAAGATGCATCTGATATGCGAACTGGGGTACAGGCCCCTTGACAATGTCTTCAATGGGAAAGTATTTTTCAGACGGCGCAGTATACGGCGTGCAGATTGAAAAGACGTGAGTGATCAGCTCGGGATACCTAGATGTGTCTGTTAAAGAAAAGTTCTTATCGCGATTGGAGAGTCGGCTATGGAAATTTACCATTGAGCAGCACGCCAAACGACGGCACCTCCCCTATTCCCGGTATCAGTATATTGATTACTCGTCTCGAGCAGAATCGTCGATGCGACGCTGTAAAACTCACCAATCATGACCTCCTAGCACAATTTGCGGCGCCTCGACTTCCTTGGCCAGCGCAGCAATGTCATCTGACGCCCTCTTCATGCCGTATAGATTGAGCGGGTTGGGGGGGACTTGCGGAGCAGCCTATGCGCAACAAGATCAGCGTTTTTCGCCTTTCACGAAGAGTATCTTCCGGGGAAGAAAGAGCAAGAGAAGTATGGAAAACTCACCGTTCCACCGTATCCCATCATATTCGGTGCCACGACGCGGAATCCCAAATCCAACAGAAGCGGGATCTGGTATCGCCATCCCATGGCTAGATCGGGCCATCCATGAATCTAGGGTTTGCTGCGTTAGTCGAGCTATTCGGAGTATATAGTGAGTCCGTCTCTCTCTCTTTCTCTCTCTGCAATAACCATCCCAAAGCCACATTCTCCTTTTCTCTTTCCTTTCTTCATATGACCCATGGTTACTCCGGCTATAACAGAAAAAGAAGACATACCAGAAAAACAGTCTTCTTCCACTCCCCCGACTTGGGCACACCATACAAATACTCGTACGTCTGCCCATTCAGCGTCGCCTTCTTGACCTCGATGCGCGAGTCAGACTCTGGGTTGATGGGTTCGATGTTCGCCATCTTTCTTGTCGTCTTCTCACTTGGCTCCCAAAAAAGAAGCTATAGTCACACTAGGAAAAAAGATCACTCGTCTGTTCCCAAATACAAAGATGAAGGACGGAAGATGTTCAAGGTAAATGTTTGGGTTGTTTGGGTCAAAAAAGAGAAAGAGCAGTAGTTGATATGCTTTCTCTCTCGGAGCCACTCAAAGGAGAAGTTCGTACGGTAGCTTGCTTTCGTACGAGGTGTGATGCAAAAAAAGCGGATATGCCGAGGCAAAGTACGTACCAAAGACGGAGTGGGGTCCGCGTCACATCTAGTACGATAGCCATCACTGTCGGGCCTATTTGTGTGGATGTCTTGTTTTCTTTGGTTTCGGGCACATCATGCTACGTATCGCGACTCATTTTGCAATGTTGAGTTTATATAGCTAGCAATTAGAAAGTATACTGGGTGTTTTAAGTAAACATGGCAAGGAGGAGTCAAGGGGTTCGAGTTGAATTGTTGGATTATATGTATTTTTCTCTAATAGTAGGTTGCGTCCTTGCATGCGTATGAAGCCAGAATCTAGGCTCGCAACCTGCAGCTTTATGCGATAGTACACCTGGACCAAGACAGACGAAAGTTTGTAACTTGATTGTCTGTCGCTCTTCTACCGGGACACACCCACGCTTGGTGTGGTAGTCAGCATGCAGTGCATATCCTTTCAACTCAGCATATTGAGCAACATGTAGTTTAAGTACTGACTTGTCGTGCATAATGACTTATCACCATGCTGCATCAGATTAGGCTGTATGATGTAGTACGACGTCACAACAGCGAATGTAGTAACAAGAATCCCCAATTAGGATATTGTTACCTTCTTGGGTTCTGCTCGAAAGCATCATCGCACCATTGCTCCACGTCTTTACATTGAGGTATGAATCGGATAGGACCTAGAGGCTGAAACAAGTTCTAGTAAGGAAGATGATCGGCGCGTGGAAAGACGAGTGTCAGAAGAGATCGAAGGTATTGTGTCCAAACGTATATCCACGAGAAAGATATGTGGTTAGTGAATAGTGGATGTCAAAAAGAAGGAAGCTCCAGGCGGCACTCAGTAGATGACAGTGTCCTCGGCAGCCTCCTCTACGACATCTTCTCCATTCTCATCTTCATCATCTTTGGTAGGCTCCTCGGGGACAATGTCACGACTTGCATCCCTGCCATCCTGCGTATCCTCGGTGGCGTGTTCATCCCTTACTTCCATGGTGGTGTTGGGATTATCAGAATGTCGACGGTCTATTTCCATGTCTTCAGGCGGAGCAGTGCTGTTATTAGTGGCACCATTGGCTGTGGATGTTGCGTGAGGTGCATCTGCATCATGGCTCTTACCAGTCTGGGAATCTGTTGCATGTCGGTTCATTTCGTCGGCAGTGTCCCGCTTCCGCTGATTATCCGCGTGTTGGCGAGCCTCGTATTCAGCCACCTCATGTCTGATGATGTCTTTGGCCCCGGCTATTTGGTCTTGTATGCGGTCGTCTTCGTCGGGGCTGGTTTCCCAGGGCTTATAGTACTGGACCGGGAATTAGCTTTCGGGAATGGGCAACTGGCTTATGCGACAACGTACGAGACGTGGCTCTGTCTTGGTCTGGAGGAAGTGGGCCATACTGAGGAGGTTGTCATGACGGATGCGCATCTGAAAATGGTAAGCCCTTGTTGAACAGAGTGTCATTTTTTGCCGCGTCTTACTGATTCCCTCTCGAAGCGCTTCTGTTCTATCCATCGCTGCTCTTTCCGCCTTGCTGCGCGCTCAGCCCTCCTCTGTTCGCTCTCGTGGTCTTCCTGCTTGCGTTGAGCCAACTGTCTCTGCTCGATTTCGAAGCGGCGTTTTTGTGCAGTAGTAGCAGTGTTCTGTGAGAGCGCTCCCAGGACGGCGCCGAACAGCCTGCGCTCTCGTCCCCTCTCGCGGCGCACTGGGGCAGGCTTGGTGTCTCTAGAGCCGGAATCACGTCTATCGTTGTCGCCGGATGTATCGTCAGCTTCGATTCGTGGTCGCTTTGCCGGGTCGTCTGAAAATGACTCCTGGC